ACCCCCTCTGCCCCCCTCCCAGCTTCCCCAAATGCACATGGTTTGTTTCAAAATCAGGGCTAGGCAGTCAAACTGAGTCAAGGCCAATCTGAGGAGACGCTTGCTGCTACCACAGGCTCTCGTGTCTGGTGGTCTGCTCCCCCAGAAGCTGGGGGTTTAAGAGATCCACACACTGTGTACAGCAAATGGAAAGGCAGACTTCTTCTTGGTTTTTTTGGTTTAAAGTAAAAATAGTAAAGCAGAGAAGGAGTGTAAGCTGGACATGGATAGCAATTAAACTCTGGAAGATGATTAAAGCTCCTGAGAGCTTTCTCCTGTTTTACAGAGGAGGCACCAAATTTGCAACTGTTGGACAAAGTCCTGCTTGAGACAAAATGCCACCTTTCCTTCGTAAGCGGGAAAGAAAAACTCCTCTAATACTATCAAACTCTCACTTGGCTAAAGCTGGGCAGGCAGGCCCCATTCCCTCTCCCTCAAACCCCGGAAGCGCAGATGCTGCGCCGCCATCTCTCAGCAGGCCGCGTTACAGGGCTGGGCCCTGCGGAGCACGATGCCAAGTGACAAGGCAGACCAAGCGGGTTTTGCTATTCCTCACAGGTCAGGGTGGGTTTATAGGCCCCGATGCAAGCGTACTGCTGCACACTCGAGCGCTTGGAGGGCAAGTGTTCTTCAATTCCTGCTAGCCACCATCCGGCTGGTGGATGGGAACTAGTTTTTGCCTCAAAAGTAGGATTATTTCTGTATTTTCTTTCCCCAGAACATCCATATCAGAATCCACTTAACCCTCAGCGTGCATTCAGTGTGCACTAGGTTTTAGGGAAACTGTGCTGTAGCCCGATTCATGCACTTTTTACAGTGAAATGATCCAGGGTGGGAGTTTTACTTCGGTGGGAACATTTGGAGTGACCATCTCTGCTGTTTCGCTAATGCGGTTCATTTGCTGGGTTTTTCCGAATACCTCCCGGATGAGTTTTGAAAGGCTGCAATCACTGCAGCGTTAGAAACGCAGGTTTCGCTAAAACTCGTAAAAATTTCTCTGGCTATCAAAATGTGGGTCTTGTGAGTAACAAGAAGGAAAAAAGCCAGCAAATAACCACTTGATGGAAATTCCAGGGCTGTGGATTGATTGAGGAGGTGCACGGGGATCCCTCCTTGCCTCCACTCCAGAGTAACCCCCTCCCGCCCAGAGTCCCATTTTATCATACAGGTTAAGCCAGCTAACGACAACCCTGGCACAGTTACACAATGAAGAAAAACATATTCAAAAGACTCATGCAATATTAAAAAAAAAAATCAAATCAAAATAAATAGGTATCAGAAGGGTTTTCAAAAGAAAAGAGAAAGAATGCATTGTTAGAAACACAAGCTTACCAGCACATACAATGCATTGTATTTCATTGAACTTGGGAGAGTTTCTACAGACCGCGTTATGTAAATGCATTGTTCAATCTAAGGTAAGGATTGTGTTTAGTGGGTTTAAAATGACAGTATATAGCTCCACATCTCACATGGAAAAGGAGGAAAATATATGCTGAGAGCCTGTTGCTGCTCCGTGTGTTTCCAAACAGGAGCGCGGGGGAAGCAGATGCCTTAACAAGCAATAGGGAGGGGGAGGGTGCGTACCTCAGCATATCTCGTAGATTTTCTATATACACTGTCCTTTTAACTATAGGGGAAATTGGTACTGAGCATGTGCGATGAAGAGAAAGCTGGCGATGTGGGTGTGAGGGATGGGTGAAGAAAGGGAATGAGGGGGTGTGGCATCTCAATCAAGATTAAAACGAAACTGATAAAGCAGCATATGGACCGGATAACAAATCAAAAAGCATGTTTATCCACTGAAGGAACTGGTTAATGGAGACTGCCAGCACGTTGCCATGGAAACACTGACTGTTGGCGCTGCACCATCTCATACCTTATCCAATACATTCCTGGTTGTTGGTAGTAGTCCAAAGACCCTGATCTCTTGATGGTAAACCCGTGGTCCAGCTGAGCAGAGAGAAACGGGGCAACTCAGTGGATCGACATTAGGCTAAAGAATTCAGACTCCAGAGCAAGCTGTTCCTTATTTAGTGCATATTTACTGTGTTCACTTTCTGAAGGCACTTATCTAACATCCTAAAGCTACGTACCGGAAACGAAAAAGAAAAAGGGGAAAAAAAAAAAGTAATGAAATAAAAGAAAAAGATACTAATGCTAGATTTTGTCTTGCTAAATTAGAAGCCGATTTTATTCAAACTAAAATGGAGTTTGTGAAATAGGTTACTTAATGCATAATGCATTCATTTAAAAGTCTGAGAAATATCTTGTTACCTCCAAAGACAGAAGTGCCCTTTTAAGTTGCACATACCACTAATGGAAAATTATCTTTTGCAATTAAACTGAGAGGTTTAATAATTTAAAAAAAAATGCAGTGCAACCATCACAGGGAGCAGGCTAGACAGGCTACACAAGGCTTAAATTAGACTGCTTCATAATCATGGAATGTGTAAAGATGAAAAGAATCAGGTTTTGATACCCCATCAATCATGGTAATTCATTTCTAAAAATGCGTTAACCTTGGAGAGTAGGACTACTCAGAGCCATGAATAACATTGTTTATCATTTCAGCTTACACCTCATGCTCAAAAAGATAACAGTACAAAACTATTCGGTTTAAAATTGCACCAATTAAAGTCAGAATGGAAATGAACTTAACATTGTGTCCAGGAAACTGTGCTCCTGATATTACTTAAGGTATATAGTTCTTTTCAGCTTAGTTTATCATTACCAGAATCATGTGCATAGGAACAAAGAAAATGTGTTGTTTTCTCTAATCCTTCCGTGCTGCACTAACAGACCCTGGAGATATCATTTAGCCAAGTTAAATAAAATTTTAGGGGAAACTATCTGGAGGGAGACATTCTGCCCACTTTAAAATTTTTAGTTATGATGGTTTTCACATTTTGCCCTATGAAAGGCCATTTTGTGCTTCACTAAGAGCGTGGCATATATTTCCAATACTGATGACAGTTTCTAATTCTAAATTCAGAAAAGCAGTTCAACACATTTCTAGCTACCAACCACTTCAAGGGATGCTAGGAGCTAACTGTAAATTTAGATTTTACTTGATGACTCCCCTGCAAGTGTAGAATTTAATAATTTATTCTGTTTTGTTAAAACAATGCCGCTTTCATCTTATTTAGAATTATTTCCTGTTTGAAACCATGATAACCTTGTACCTAGAGTTAATTTTCCTTTGGCTTAACTACGCTGGTCTGCTATTGCCATCTACTGGCTTTCTTGTATGCTGCATACAAAATACACAAAAGGGATGTTTTCTTAAAAAGCAGACCAAAAAATATTGCCCTGAAATCGAATAGCTAAAAACACGACATAGAGAAAATCGGGAGAGTTGCTTCCTAACACGATCCGAAACAATTTTGTCGGTGTGGAAATCCTGCCACGGGAAAGCCGACTGTGGACAATGGTCCCAGGACAACACAGACAACAGATGGGAAGTGACAGTCGAGGCACGGGTTCATCTTTAAGCAAAACTCCCAGACTAAACTGGCTTCTCTTCCACAACACCCAAGAAATCCCACAGCTAAAAATGCCACGATCTGTAATTTAAAGTCGGCAGGACGTGGGGGGACAACCCATCCACTCCCTTCCCCTCGCCGGTGTCTCCAGCCCAGTGAGGGCTCTGCCAGAGGCAGAGAGCTGCACCAACTTTTTGAGCAGCTTTTCTCTTTGCCCTTCTTGATTCCTCTGAGTCTCCAACTGGAGTTTACTCCCATTGCCAAGACAGAGACCTCAGACAACCTTAACAGAAGATTATACTTTAGTTTTTTCCTCAGTCTTAACAATGGCAAAAATACAAGCACAACAGTGAAAACATACAGGCACAGCTTTAACACTTTGGACAAGAACACAAATTAAACGATGCTTGGTTCATACACAGAATTACAGCACACCTCTGGATTGCAGAAGCATTCTTAAAAAAATTATTTTGGCTCTTTGGTCTCTTTAGCCACTGTCACTAAAGCCCAGAGGGTGCAGCCACAGGGTATTGTTTTTGTGGCCAAAGACAAAAACATGGCATGGCATCCTTGGAGAATAGAATGAAAAATTCTATCCCCAAATTTAAAAAAGACTAATTAGTAAGAGCCTGGTTTTATGTTTTTGCTGCAGTATCTTTTATAAACATCATCACGGAACTACAAAATACTGTTCCTGTTGAAAAGCTGTACAAGAAACTTGATCCTGCAAATATTTTGGCACATGCTTAACAGTAACGCGGCCGTTTGGACACAGACTGGAGGGGCACTAGCCTAGCCCATCTCCTACAGAGACCTGGAGTCAATGCCTATGTCAAGAGTTTAAGAACAGGGCAAGTAAAGTGATCATTCTTCTACAAACTCTCCCATCAACAAGCAGCACTTTTTAGGAGCTTGTTAATTCTCTTGCTATTTTAAAAGCTGGCTCTCCAATTAAAATTTTGCTGGCAAAGCTGTGTTGGTTTAAGGGATTTTTTTCCCAGCTGACATAGTTATGCTGGCAGAACTTTATATGATATATTAATGTATCAACAGAAAAGTCTCTTTGCCTGTATAGTAAATTTTGTTTGAGCAATCATCTGCTATGTCAGCAAAGGAACTACTTTGCTGGGCACGCACAACACGTTCATTATGGTAGTTTGTGCAAACTGACCAATCCTTTCAAATGCAGGCAAACTTGAGGTCTGGACACATGCACGAGAACTCGTAGGATGTCTCTGCCCTGAATTGTTAGAGACAACCTTCACTGAGGATTGCTGCATCAACAGAGCAGATGTAAGTCTGGACCAAAGGAGTCAATACAATGTATTTGGACATCACTGAAGGACGCAGTAGCCACAGCAGACAGATGTAAAATACACGTGGCTTCAAAATCCCTCCCAGTCAAGCTGATGACAAACACATCTTTAGGAACTCAGTTTTCATATTAGAGTTTTAATTGGTGCATATGATAAATACTGCTTGAGATCTTTGAGGTGTGTTACTTCTTACCACTGAAGAAAACAGGCATATAATATCATAGCAATGTGAGGACAAATTTACGATCTAAATACCACAGATTAGCTGTCTCTGTACATAAACAGAGTTATAAAACTCAAAACATTGCTAATAATTATATTTTATACTATTAAGTAGGCTATCTAAATATATGCACATATTAACACATTGTCACACACACACACACACACACACACACACACACACACGTGTTATATAATATATAGAAGACAACTCTATGTATTATATACACAAGCACTCTCTCAAAAAGTTACAGTGAACATACAGGCAGGTGCAATAAAACAGTATTTTAGTAGAAAATATACTTAGTGCACGTCTTCAGTGCTGAACAATATGTTACAGCATCTGTACATACTCTGAAAATTCTAAATTTAGAGCAGGTTTAGTTAATAAGGTTTACACCTATGATAAACCCTAATGACATGCATGTCAAATGTACGTTAAGTATGCTTTCAAATGCAGAAGCAACAATTAAAGACTGACTGTTGTTTTGTTTTTGGTTTTATTTTACTTTCTAAATTAGTTTTGTAGAAAATAAAGGTAATTTATTCTTAAAATTATCTAGCTTTCTGAAATATTGCCATAACACTAAAGTGGTCTATACTTTCCCATCCCTTCCAAGCTTTTAGAAAATAAATGACACAAGCTAATCAAACCACTTCCTGATTCTGTAAATATATTCTAAACATTTCTACTTCATAGGCCAAGCTGCAGCATTAATCGTGCCAGAGTATGATGTTCATCCATAGAGATAATCACTAAAATAATCTGTTAAATTTCCAAACACTAAAAAATAAATAAAAGCCATTAAGAATATATGTGTATATATAAACATATACACATATGTATTTCTGATATATAATGTTTTGCAGTGGAAAATTTCACTACAGTGCCTTTTTCATTACTTAAGCATCACACTGCTGTAAACAATTCCTTGGCAGAGCAACTGGGCAAAGAAAAATGGGCGGGGAAATAAAAAACATAAAGGAGGCGAGGGATGGATGAGGACAGAGGCATCATTTCTGGCTTTTAAGCTTTGAAATCATTAGCGTGGAGGATCTGAGCAGTAATTCTCATGGACAAGCGTGCTGGCAGTCCATTCGAAAGGAAGACGGTTTCAGCTAGTCTATACAGAACATACCTGCATTTCAGATGAGCAATGGGTATGTGATGTTTTAGTTGTGGGAGAGCTGTTGCAGTATTATTGCTTAAAAATGAAAATAAAAATATGCTGACTATGTTAGCTGATGGCTGAGAAAATCTAGGAAAAGCATGAGGAACAACTTGCTTCCATGTTGAGGACGTTCAGGGTTGGAAAGAGTAAAGAAAAAATATGAGAGAGGCACAGCTTGAAATTTTAAGTCCTTATACCACGTAACGTTGAGAGAGTATCCATTCTGCTGCATAAACAGTTCACACCTGTGAGCCAGATTGCTTGTGCTGAGCTGAGTCTAGTTCATGCTGATTTAACTCACCACTGGAGGGGCTGAGCTGAGAAACATGAAAGTGGAAACAGTACAAGAAACTGTACATGTGCAGTCACACCACCTGCAATTTATGGAAGCTGGGAATGAACACTGAGTAATCTGATATGGGGATGGTTATGCTTAACGTGTCACTTATTTTTTAGTGACTATTTGGAGCGTTAACATTACCATGAGTAATAAAGGAAAGCTTACAGACACAGGCAGATGTACCAAAAATGTCAAGGATGTGCATGTTACTATTCAATGGTGTTAGTATGAATAAACTCATAAAACACTGAATATATTCTGTGTGCATGTATACCTAATACACATGTTCATCTTTGGGGTAAAAATACAGATGTATGCGATGTATGCTACACTGAGGATGCCATTAAAACTTCAGTAAAGCTTGGTCAAAAGTTTGGTCAAGCTTAGTTTCAGAAGCTCCAACATGTTCTAACCTGGACTGCCTAGACTGGAACTGCAACATGACAGAGGGCAGCAAGGAGCTCCATTAAGTCTTTACCCAATTAAGTCCTTCTGCCTAACGGGAAGCTGCTGGCATGTGGCAGTACAATAAAATGCTGCTGCTCAGCTAAATTTGAAGTGGCTAGACTTGTATCAACTATGAAGGTATCAGTGAGGCATCGTAGCTCTTTTGGATGTCTTCAGAGAAGCGAAGTTCAGGCTGCCGTACAGATTTTGTTACAATTTTGAAGTGTTTTCCACTCATTGTAAAGTGCTGCTGTCCTGCTACAGCCTCAGTGTTGCCCCAATCCATGTGATGATTCTGAGGTCAAGTAAAATGTCACAATCCCATAGTTTGAATTTTTGAATCTACACTGGATTTATGCCCACTGATCTTCTGGTGAAATGTGGAAGTGTGGGTACTGTTAGATCTAGGGCTGTTAAATAACAATGTGACTCACAAGGAGAATCAACGGAGAAATTGTGCAGAATACCAATCTAACTACGTTTATATTAAATAAATGCTAGAACTATCTAAAGATTAACCCTCTCTGGTTTCTTTTGGCAGCATGTCCAAAACACACCCTGTCTCGTGGGCACACATTTAAGTGTGTTGGCTGTGTATTTCAGATGCTTACTGCTATGACAGAAACTCCAGCTGCTGTGCTGTTCGGTTTAGGGCCCGTGTTGAAATGCTTCTTTATCTTCCCAGCTACTGAGAGCTGATGTTCATTCTCTGGAAGTCCATCGTCCTGCAGAGAAAACAAAGCAAAGGAAAACATCAGAGAGAAAAGGCAAAATAAAGGAATTGGGAGGCAATGTTGATAGCAGCTGTCAATACAGAGAAGTTTACAAAAATTTTGTGGTGAAATATGGGTGAGTCATTGTCTCCATCAATGTATCTAAGATATTTATAAGATGAACATATTACGTGATGAACCAGCATCTCTCTTCTTCTGTACCCAATATCTTCCTCTCAAACTTTCGGTAATGTTAATTATTCTTTCTACTATGTCTTAACTACCACCACCCAGTTATTTTTAGTTCCGTTAATATTTCAAAGCTTGATAAGCTCGGACCTGTTTATGATTCTGTTTGCTCATCACATAAATTTAAAGATAATAACCTCAAAAGTAGAAAGTGCCCAAGAGAATACAGAAACCAGAGGTCTAGGACACAGAAAAGGATCACCAAAAGTCCTGTGACACAACACTAAGGTCCTTGCCTTGTCGTAAAGATTACAAACTTGGGGACTATGGGGTTGGGTGAATACTGCAGCCACAATTCAGTGAGCCCCACAGTGCAAGATGGGATCTGAGACATGCCCCATCCAAGCCCCTCGGCGCGGGTAAGCGCAGGACCTCACCGATGCCAGGATGTATCTCTTCATACACCTGCAGGCCAGGCTCACGGCTTGCAGTGGCATTCCCCACAGACCATGACTGAACCGTAGTAAACCCACAGTTAAACAAAGCCACCGCTGCAAATCCAGTCTAAAACTGACTGGTAGCAAAGGACTGAAATTTCTTTCCCAGTCCCAAGGCACACACGCCTGGGATGCAGTGGGGAAAGGACAGACAGAGGTACAGATTGCCTGGGAAAGCAGAGAAGGGTTGGAGCCAGCTCTGGGTGGTCTATTCTTCCTTGTCAAAAAACATGTGTTCTCAACTTGAGCTAACCAGAGGTAAAAGTAGGCACCCAACTGCACGGCCAAGCAGAGGCAGGCACGCATTGTGTTGTTGCGTGCACCGCGCAAGCCGGCTGCACGCGAGCTCCAGCCCAGATGCCGTGCAGCCGAGCAAACCTGTTCATCTGCACCTAGGCATGCAGGCAACCTCCGTGCTGGAGTGAAACCCTAGCAGAAAAAAAGGGAGTTTGTAGTTTTGCATAAGTCAGCAGGTTGACGCCAAGCATGAGAGAAGAAATAAGGCCCTTAGGCCTGAAAAAAATGCAAAAAACCACCCCTGGTGAGACTTCCCCGCTAACAGAACACGGACTTCAAGCAACAAAATGCACTAGCCATCCGCAATGGTCATCCCAAATTGGTACTGCAAGATAAATGTAGCTATCAACAGTTGTAAAGCTCTTAAATTCTGCTTAAGTGAAATCCTAGCAAAATACAAGAAAGCAAGAGACAAGATGAGAATACAGCGAGATGACACACACTTTTTTGCCTGGCGTTCCAGCAATTCTGAGTGCACGTAAAGAGTTACAGAGTTGCTGCAGTAAATCATGAGTTCAGTGAGCATATGGGAATTTTAGGGAGGTTGGTTAGGGTTTGTTATTTATTTAGCTTGGGGAGTTTGTGTTTAGAGATCCCTCACTCACCCCTTAACAAAATGTCTCAGCTGGCAAAATATGGTCAAGTGCACACAGCTGCAAAACACAAAACAAAACAATACAACCCAGTAGCTGATTATTGTCTAGCACTGGGGAGTCTTGGCTCGGTGGTACATGACCCCTAAAAATAACCTGCTTTCCGCTGACCTTGCCTTTCCCAGAAGAAAGCTAGTCTGTAAAGTGAACGCTTCTTCGCTGGAGGGGGAAAATAATATAAAAACCATTCACTTGGCTCTCTTGACATGAAAGCCTGCCAGACGTTCACGTCGTCTTGTCAAAAGACTAAATTATGGAGAAGACAAGTTACCAAGACTGTGGCAATATTTTACTGGTGAAGCACCACACCCACAGTTCCAGTGGCAACACACCAAAGACACATAGCTTGGGGTCCAGTTTTTCGACGAAAAATCTTCCAGCTCAATTTAAGATGCAGCATAGGGATATATGGGAATTATTCTGTCGTTATTAAATTTTCTTACTACTGTTGGTGCCACCTGATATTTAATAGTAATCTTTTCTTTTATTCCAATGTACTTTAGAAACAAGCTAATATATATTTGCTGGCTCCTGGAATCACTTCAGCCAACAATAAAATAGATATTGAGGGTAAGAGATGACAGCTGCTTCACTACATACAAAACAAGCTCCTCTGCAATTTAAAAAGGCAGGAACTGACAAAACAAAACCCTCATCAGAGTCACCAGAATCAGCAGGGTAAGCTGTAGAATTAGAGAACAGGCTAAATATTGCTGACAAAAATTTTGTCAGTTTGCTGTAACGGGAAGGATGTCTGCCCCCAAAGAAGTTAACTGTTCCTTTCCCCTGTTTGAACCTGTTGCTATAGGAACTACTTGCAGCGGGTTAGGATCACACAATTTCATTTCAGCTTTATCAGTCAGGACAAGTTCTTTTAAAGACAACTTTTAAAGTGGTATTTGGTGCTCAACTCTGGGAACGGGTCATGAGGTTCAGGAAAATGTGTAACTGCTGATGCTGTGAAAGAAACATTCTCCTGAGCACATCTCAGAAGTTGAGCAGCCAAAATTCTTTGACAGTTTTAAAACTCTGGTCCAGAATTTGAGATTTCACCTGGATAATGTAAACTGACTGGAAACTTAATATATGTGTATATATATATATGTATTTATCAGCCTCCACAAAATAACTTTCATGGTCTATTTGCAAGAAATCAAAATAAAATAATTAAAAAAAAAAGTCAGACTGTCATCTCAGTGTCATTTGAGTAATTAATAATGTTTTCATATTTGCATTGTTCTCTATGGCAGGAGGCATTGCCACACAAAGGAAAAAGAAGTGTTAAAAAGATGGAACAGAGTTCAGGATTCCCAGATTCTTGCTGCCCTGAAGCACTCAGATCTTTTTCACAAGCTGGTCACAAGAGCTTTACTTTCCAGGTCTGAAAGCATCAGATGAATAGGTCATTATATAAATAACAGCAGAAAATTAGAGCAAATAGAAGTACTGGAAAAGCTTTTGGACTCTGCTTCCTTTAAGGATTACAAGGAGATTTGTCTTTGGGCAGTGTCCTAGGGTGTAACCAAAAGTAGTGCAGCTGCCAAATAAGAAATGTCTTCTTAAATTAACTTCCTTACAAAATGTGCAGCTATTTACTGCTTGGTTATTCATTTCCTTTGCACAAAAATTTCCAAGGCAGACACAGTTAAGGAAATATGTAAAAGCACCAGTTTCCCTGCTTCTTTTTGGGCTGGTGTGTGCCATCTTCCTCTTCCATCAACAACACACCACATTTTATATTGATTATTTTAACAGAGAAGGATTTACAGAAAGCAATCCATCCCCTTCAGCATTCACTGCTCAGTGATGTATTAGGAAATATTTACTACTCATGCAACAGAAAGAGAGTAGGTTTGTCCTGTAACTTGTACAGTATAATTCAGGTTATCAATATCATCGATGTTTAAAATGCCAGATCTCAAGCTTCCAGCCTCTTTTATAACTCTTCGGTTTTGCAAAGAATTCCAGCAGGTAAAGCAAAGAGCTGGGGTCCCTGTAGGGGAAGTATAAACTGATGGATTGGTTTCCAGGTCTAAGTGTACTGCATAGGAGGGACAAATCCAAATAAACTAAATGGAGGGGGCAAGGAACTGCTGCTGAATTGCATTTAGAATTCAAGATCTCCATCTGTGGCAGTGGCACGTAGCCAACATCTTTTCAGGTTTTGTTTTTTTGAATTGAAAACAGCTGGGATATTATTGACATAGGAACTGCTTTACTGGTCTGACTTGACCATAACAACTTTTGCAGTTTCCAGGAGGATTCCAGCTATTTTTACAGCAAAAACTGAAACTGAAATGAGGGTTGGCTGCTATTGAAACTGTCAAAGCATATTCCAGGAATCTCAGCAATTTACCAAGTAATCACATAGTAAGCAGCTATAAAGTAGAATGGTTATTTACAATCTACAAAATGGTTTTATACAGTGTAAGCAGTTAGAACACTTCTATCACAGGATTGATCAAAGAGAGAGAGTGTTTCTTCAAATCAGTGAAGAAAGCATGCCTGCTTTTCAAGCCAGCTGTGCTATCCAGTATTTTAGCTGCAAGTTTACCCCTCTATGAATAGGTTCAAAACAGAGAGAGGAAAAGTAAAAGTGAACTCCAGCATTTGGTGCCACTGAAAAGTATTTAAACAGGTTATCTGGGAAAATGGAGTGTTAGGAGAAAACTCCATGTGCCATATCTTCTCAGAAAGACAGAATTTTACGAAAGTTGCAGATAATTGCTCAGGTAATTACGACACAGATCACAGAGCCTTTCCTAAACAGGGATGACTATATTAATTCCCTGTCCTGAAGCTGGGAGAATGAGGTACAGGGAGGCAGGGTGACAGACTTGCAGGTGATGGTACGGGGATGCGAGGTCGGACACAACCCCAGCGCGTCATTCTGCCTCTGGACACAAGCAGGCTGTCCCTGCTAGGCTCACTCCTGCAGACATCTCAGACCCACTGCAGGGAAGTGTCCTTTTTCACAAAAGCATTTCAGTACCTGTTTCAACTCAGCCGTGTTCTTATTTCTCCTGAAGTGAACTAGGATTTTAGTGCCATCTAGTTAATTTTATGCCTGATATTAAGTGTTTCCATGTGTGATGCCTTGAAATAGGAGCGACATTTGGAACGTGCTCAATCAAGCACTTTCCTGAACTGGTCCCAGTGCTGGCCTTCCTCCTTCCAGAAAAAATATCTGGAGGATACACAAGAGAATTCAAAAGAGGTTTTGATCTGCATTATGAACTACCATTAGCATACTGATGAAGAGAAAATACTGATTTTTCTCAGCTGCTAAAAGCAGCAATTGCACAGAAATTACTGAACTGTCATGGAATATTTGTGTCACTTATTTAGGGACAGAACTGCTTCAGGTCTTGATTGCAAAGAATTATAATCAGCATAAAACTAGGAGAAGTGTAGCAGAGCTAGACCAAAGGTGAATTGAAAGCAGTGTCCTGTTTCCAACAGTGCGTTGCAGTCACTGTACATGAAATAGTACATTTAAAGCAGACAAGTAGATCTTGAACTTTCCCTTCAATATCTTCCAGCTTCTGCCAACCAAGTACTTCAGAACTTTGTGAGCCAAGACTTGTATCCAGACCACTGTATTAAATAGACACGAATGGGCTCATCTTCTAAAAATGTATCAAACTCCCTTTTGAATCCAGTTATACTTGGCCTCTCCAGCATCCTCTGGCAAAGACCTCCACATTTTAATGTATTGCACAGACACCTAGGAATTTGCCATGGTGCTTCAGTAACCAGAGCTCAGGTCTGGTTAGTGAAGCTCTGGAGTGTTAAAAGACTTTAGCCCCCAGCCCCTTTCCCTCTCCCTCCTCATCACCAGGCACTAGTGAGGGCAAGGAGCAGACCCTCATGCCACCTGCACACCATCACGTTACTGACAAAAAGCTGCACAAAAAGGTGGCCGGGGGGAGCAATAACAGTTCCAATGTACTTTACAGAAGAGGAAGATTAGTGACCACATCCTTATGTGGTGTAAACAAGCGATGTTTCAGTAATCTCCACAGCAGTGTGCAGACTGACACCGTGGGTGACCTGGCCTCTCCTCGGCTTCTGATCAGTCACTTCCATCTCTTCCTCAGCAGCACTCCAGAAATCCCCATCCCTCCTCCTCCCATGGGAACACAGAGACACCTCAGTCATCAAAAGTCATATAAACTGTGACAGAACACTATGTCCAAGGACAGCACCTGGCACCAAGGAAAATTAATATTTCAGCTGCTTGAATGTCATCTTAAAAATGAAAAGGTTTTCATCAGACATCATCCGGGATGCTTGCACTCTTCGTACACCGCAGAAGTGTTCTGCATGATAACAGCATTTACAGGCGAAAAAAAAGGTTTGGGCATGAAGGGACCCTCCAAGAGTAAAGCATACACTTGGTAAACACTTAACTGATCACCACTATTCTGGGCTATATGGAGGACCTTTTCATAAAAAAAATATTAACATTTGAGTTTACTGTAGATTTGAATTTTTAGAATAGTGATTTAGTGAGAAAAAGATTTTGGATAACAGCAACTGAGGGACCAAATAGTTATTCCAGGGAGGACTGCACACTCAAAATTGCAACAAACAAAACAAAACAATGTTTCTTCCTCCCTTATTTTTTTTTTCTCTGCTCATCCAGATTGTACTTTTTTTCTCAATCTTCCCTTCTGAGTTTGAACCTGGATTTTCTCCAATTTTTCTTTCTTGTCGTCCAAATATTTTACGACACATTAAATAGCCTGAAATAACTAACAAATATTAAGTAGTGTCCTTGTCGCAACATTAATTAAAGAGATATCTCTTTATTCCCTGCCAGATTTATCCATATGCCACCTCATTGACTACCACTCTTACGGCAAATGTCCAGTCGCTTAGAGATAAGCCAGGATACATAAATAGCTATTTCATGGTAACTCAGATTAAATGGATATGGCTGTACATAAATATATGTATATTTCAATGTCAGAAGCTAAATATGATTCTAAAGGTTTCCCTGTTTCATGCTGGATCAGGAGGCTTAACACTCTGGACTGTATTTCCGCAGCTCTTAATCATGACTGTCAGATTTTTGAGTCCATCTGATTTTAGGAGAGCAAAATCTGTCACTGAACCCACAAGCTGATTGTTAGAGGTATAAATTTGTCAAGTGTGCTTGAGATTTGTTGAAAACCTGACCCAAAATATTTCAGAGAAAATGTAGCTGAGCATGCATAAAATAGTGAATAATCCAAGGTACGCATGGATATGCTAAAGCTGCCTGTAACCCAGCTTATTTCCAGTTAAATCTGTGGCATTTTTAGAATGTGCTGGCTCCAAAAGGACATAGGAAGGACTTCACAGAAAATAGCTCAAACGTGCCAAATTACAAGCAGCATCTAGAAGCCTGAAAATACTTACATTAACCCATGGATGCTCAAGAACTTGCAAGGCTGAGAATCGCAGGTCTACATCTACTTGAAGCATCATTGTGATAAGTTCCTGAGAAATGGAATACTGGGTCAAATTTAAAGAACACTTTTAAAGAACAAATCAACATTTAATTCACTAGAGCGCTCTCAAATTGATTATGTAAGAGTGCTCAATGACAGCGTGAACTACCAACTGCAAAAATACATTAAGATTATTAAAAAGAAAGAACAACTATGAACTGCTGAACTTCAAGCTGAACTTTTAAATCAATTTCTAACAGTACCTTGGAAAGCTAGAAGACAGTTCTGAGTTACAGTTCTGTAGTCACTGTCTAAGAGAAAAGCCCTTAATAGAGAATGTACAAAACAGATGGTCGCATGAAATTAGGTTAGCTTCCCATTAAGAAAACCCCAATTCCTCTGTAGGAAAAAAGCCAGCAAATCTAGACTTTTACTTTAAGCTGTGGTAGAGAAGATAGTAAAAAAACCCAAAACGCTTAAAACCATTATTTTTCATCCTCCGATTTCCTTTGCAATTACCTAGTTTCCAACTAGGGTGTAAATAAACATATATCTCATTCCACCAGTGCATGGAGCACACAGAAAACAGGATGGCAGTGTGACAGCAAATAAAGGGGTATCACCAAAGACCAACGTTAATTCTTAGTGATAAGAAGTTAAATTGATACACTAATGATTCAAAACAGAAATTTCAGATTGAACTATTTGGGGGAAGGAGTTTCACGGGAGAACCCCTTGGCAAAGTTCTCATTAATGATGCTGCGAAATAGGGCCTGCTACAACACCATGATGTGGTTTAGAGGACTTCTTCCAACCCTATGACTGTATCTCCTTCATTAACCTCATTAGTAAACAGGCTAAAACGCTAGTCCTGATCACCCTCCACATGTCTGTAATAGCAGGATGCCACTCTGAAGAATGGAGACTCAGAACATAGAATGCTACTTTCATTACATGCATCCACCTCCAAATTTTGTAATTATTTGATGATTACTAAGCAGCGTCACACTGAAAGAAACAGGAAGAGAGTTTTGCCTGGATTTGCATTACATGCTACAGAAGTAAACTGTCAGAAATGAAGCACTTCTGTACAGGATTGACCATATGAATAGTTTTATGGTTTGGGGGTTTGGTTTTTTTCTTTTAACACAGCCATGTGTATTATCTCTTACTCTCTATATATTTATACAGATGACTATAGTGAACACCAGATCCCTAGTTAAGCTGTTGCTCCAGTACACTCATGAGAGTCAAAAAACTTGATCTGCTCTGCAAGCGGAATGAACTCTGTCAGGTTCTTTATCTGAAAAGTATTGTACCTGCCATAGCACACCTCAAGCTCTACGTCATTTGTCATGTGCCAAGAGGCTATGGCCCAAGAACCGGCGGGCAGAAGAAGTGTGTATTTCATACCACGCTGACAACAATCAGGAGACACAGGCAATGCAAGGCCTGGTTCTTTGACAGAAAGAAATAAACGACATATCATCTAATGTGATTAATAAGGGGAAAACAGCCTCCCTGTAATATTATTATATAGTATTCAAAGGCTCCAGGTTGGCACCTGGTCCCCATCATAACTACATACAAAGCACAATCCCAGGGAGCTTTCAAGCTCTAAAGTGTAGGTCGAGCAAAATTATTTAAAATTTTTCTTGATCTGTAAGGGTTGCCGATGTCTCTGCTGTGTGAGACATCATATAGAGATGGGGTTCATTTCAGAACCACCTGGAGTCTAACAGACAGCCAGTGATTAAACGACAACACACTCGGTGACGCAGAGGAATTTATAGGTGTAGCTGGAGACGTATGAAACATGTCAAATACAGCACTGAAAAGAACAATGTTCATTAGATACTGGCTCTGGGAATAATATTGCAGAAGATAGTATCATCAGCTATATAACCTTACCTTTGCAGAGTCAGAAACATTGTCCCAATATGGAGATGGAAAATCCACCTGTCCCATCAAAATCTGATCAAAAAGTACTTCTTGGTCATCTCCGCTTCTGTAAAGTAAAAACCAAACAAAACCAACAACAAAACCCACAAATAAATTATTTCCAGAGCTGGTTTCAATAGACTTCTTGAAACTGCTGTTAATTGGTGACCCCTCAGTAGGCTTTTGGAAGCTGCTGATACCTCACCAAGCACGCAGCCATGGGTGTGAATGGTGAGATCATGAAGCAAAGTACATTTGGTACATTCTTTCTGAGGTAACCTGCTTCTCTTTAGGATGGCCAACAACTCTGCAATTGATTTGAGGGGGAGAAAATATCTGACGTCCTCATTAAGTGCCTTACATTTTAATTACCTTTTACTGACCACAAAATATGTTGGTTTTGGTCCATGAAAGAAGACGCTTATTTCACTGTGTATTTAAAACCTCAGGCAAAGGCACCCAGAACCCAAAATGGAGGCTCTTGTTTTGTAATGCAATGAAGCTTAAACTAAAATAAACAAACAGGAGACAGAGATTTTACAGTAAAATCACAGACATGTATGGGTTTTGAGCAAATTGCTATGCAGAGCACAGGAAAAAAACAAACCCTAAGAGCAGAGAACTTTTTCCAGAGGGAATCTCTGTGCTTAATGCAAAAGCAGCACAGGGACCAATGCACAGAACAAGGATGGTTGAATAGATCGGTCCATACCCACGAAATGGAGGGAAACCACAGAGCAGGATGTAAGTTATCACACCCGCTGCCCAGATGTCCACCTTCAAGCCATATCTAGAAGTGTGAGAGACATGGTTAGAGACATCCGACTCCTAGGAAGTACAGTAGAACAACGGAAACATTTTCAGAATTATTAATAATTTCTTATATATTTTCATGTGAACTGTCTCTGTGCCCTATCTACCTACCCTGATTTCACCTTCCAATCTTTTTTACATTTACATCCTAACACTTCATGCGTTCGACAGCAGGAGTGCACAGAATATATTGTGCTGTATTCTTGAGTGAGTGACGCCTACCAACATGAAGGCTGCAAAGGTGACACAAGCTGCTCAAGCCAGCAGGCATATGCTCTGTGGAACAAATCAGAAGAAGAGGACAGCGCGTGGTAACAAAATAAAATTAGGTGAACGGTAGTTAGCAGCCTCTGGGGACAGCTTAAGAATTACCTTTATTGTTTCTGCGACTGGCTAGGTAGTAATTCAGCTGTGAACTTCCAGGCCAACAACTGGTAGAGGAACCTAATATAACTCCAAAGCTGGCCCTACGCTGAGATCGTTTGGACAAGGCAGTCTCCAGAGGTCCCTTCTAACTAAATTGTTCTATAGGCCACGATTCTGCATCACACCCAAGCATAGCCAGCATAAAAATCTTAACTGCAAGAAGTCCTATCTGGCACATTGTTGAGAACGTGCTTCACTGTGTGCACATCAGTGGATCATCACCAGAAGCGATTTACCCAGTTTCAGCGATGATTTCTGGAGCTACATATGTTGGGGTCCCACAAACAGTATACAGAGGTCCATCCACAATTGTTGCCAGGCCAAAGTCTCCCAGTTTCAGGGACTTGCTTCCATCTTGGTGTTCATAAACCTAAACCAGGAGGAAAATTCAAAGGTTCAGCATAGTACCATCGACTAATTTACTACTAGTAAATACCATTTACTAACTGCCTGAAATGTTCCTTCTAATTTACAGTCTTTTTTTCCTCCTTCCCTACAACATACTTCTCTTCATGCTTTGAAAATTCACAGACACTTTGGACAACTTCCCTTGAATGCACTCAGGGTGTTTGGGAAAGACTTACCTCGCTACCTGGCCAACCAAGGACATACTACTTGCTAGAAGCTAAAGCCTGGAGCAAAGGCCTGACCTTCCAGCAGTGACATTCCTAGGTTAACTCCCCACTGACAGCCAACTCACCCTGTAGGGTTTTTCAGGTTATTCATTTTACTAGCACTGGAGCTCCAAAGGCTTGCACAGGAATTTCAACTTCCTAGATAATGCAACACTGCACTGATAGGAACAGGTTCTTCTCTGTGTACTGAAGTCACAAGACACAAACCTGGCTGGGCTATTTCACCTAAAAACACTGTCCTCTTCTTGCATGTCTTTTAAACACCAATCAGTGTCTTAATGGTATGTTACCATCATCATCAATGTATATAGGTAAGGCTGTTAATGGCTATACGTGAAAATCCTCTCTTAAAACACGGTCTTCTCAGCAGCAATGTCATCCTTCATGGGTTTTTATGGGTGTGGAGGGAGATTAAGATATAGTCACAAGAAAAAAGCTAGAAACATCAGTTAAAAATACAGTTTCAAAAGCTGGCTCAATGCAAAAGAACCTCCCCAAATCTGCAAACACTGAAAACATACAAAAAATGCTTAAAATAAAAAGGATTAATTAAACACTAGACTGTAAATCTGTCTTTAATCCAGCTGCTGGTTTAGGTTCTTGCTTCCTATTTTGAAAATGCTTATGATGCAATTTAATCCTGTTTACCATAACAGCACCTTAAAAAAATGGAAACAGTGTAGAGGAGGTCTTCTTAAAGTGTACATGTGTCACATTATTATTTTTTTGCAACCCAAATCAAAGCTCCATGCAGCCTGGCTCACCAACAGTGATATCCTGACAACAATTAGCAGTGACAGCACAAAAATAGAAGATATCATACTTCATAATCAAAATGAAAATCGTACTTAATACCCATCTTTACCAGCTACTCCTATATCACAAAGCACATCTATCTACAACAGTTTGCAGAGGAAAACCTTAGATCTTTTTCTTACAAAAATGCAGTAAATTCTAAAAGGGACCCTTGAACACTTGCAAAACCTGGTGCAAAAATGAAGACTTGAGATCTCTCACCAGTGTTTGCTACAGATCTGCTATAAGCTCATAATACCTAGGCACGTTCATATTCTGTTCTGTCCCTGCCCATGGCAGGGGTGTTGGAACTAGATGATCCTTAAAGTCCCTTCCAACCCAAACCATTCTGTGATTCTATATAATACAGCCCCCCCTCAAGTTTCTCCATTCTTAATGTTAGTCGTGTCTAGAGAGAAAACCGTTCTCTGTACTGAATCTCTGCTACCAGATGATAAAGCCACAAGCAGACATTCAGAATACACAAAATTATTCTCCTTTCCTTATGTTATTTTTAATAATACAACTGGATCTTTAAGGGGACCAGCAATTTGATATAGATTCATGTTTCTCTGCTACTAAGCCAGAAAGAAAGATAGGCTTATAGAAACACACTGAGAAAAAGCAATTACGGTTTTATTAAAAACACAGATTGTTAAATACATCTGGTTCCTGAAACTAAAGAAAGTGCTCTCTGAAATGGTAGTAATAAATCTAATTTCAACAACAGTTTTAATTAAAGGCTAGAGACTAGAGCTTTAAATATTCACTTGCTGAAAAATGTAAAGTGTGCACTTAGGCATCAAGAGCTGAATCCAGACTAATTAGCATCTCCTATTCCATTTCATGTGGTTATCTTTTACAAAGCCCTGAGTTGTGTTAACCTAGTGAACGTTCCTAAATCCCCTCCAACAGACCACACTTTGAATGAGTCGTATATCCCGGAAATTAATTATGGGAAAGACTCGCTTGGCAATATTTACCAATTCAGAGGGTTTGGTACCGTGCATTTTCTAGTATTTTGCTCCATCTGTTTCCAGGAATTGCTTTCCTTGCAAAACTACTTCAGTTGACTTATAAAACTGAAGAAAGTAACTTTTCCTCACCCTGTTATAACTCCATATAAAAAGGAGCCCAATATGAAGCTGTGGTATGTTACTTGCCAGTCAAGGAATGCGAAAGATAATTTAATGCTCATGTTATTCAGAACAAACGCTGTGTATGTTCCACTGCATTTAAATACTGAAGGGCAATTAAAGAAATGGGGATTAGTGCAAATTACCTGCTATGTAGTGCTTTCACTGTTTTAACTAAGCAATAAAACTGTGTAATTGTACAACACTAATTGAATGCAGCCACACATAATTGTGGGCCACCATATGTATCCTATTACTATAAAGACTGTCAGTATTTTCTACGCTGCTCTCATGATCAGTGCAGATGGCAACAGTCAGAGAAGTTGTTCTCTAGGGTTTATTATATGGCTATAAAGACATCCCATGACTTGACAAAATAAACGTGCTAAATAGCAGCAATTATGAAAAATGGTCCAATTAAAACATGGAAGACATTCTGGAGACAAAAAAAAAAAAAAAAAGCTAAAAAGTCACAGGTATTCAGTATACCCTAAACGCTTGGATAGTTGACTGCTAGGTGGGCTTTGCATGCCTTGAAGATAATAAGGAATATTTAAGCACTTACAGAAATAACTGGTGTTACACATAGGACATTGTGACGGGTTCACACACACAAAGATGGTTTTGGCTGAGATAGAGTTCATTTTCTCCATGGTAGCTGGTGTGGGGCCATGTTTTGGGTTTGTGCTGGAAACAGCACTGATAACACAGGGATGTTTGTGTTACTGTTGAGCAGTGCTGACACACAGTCAAGGTCTTTTCTGCTCTTCACCTCACCCCACCAGCAGGTAGCTGGGGTGCACAAGGAGTCGGGAGGGGACACAGCCAGGACAGCTGACCCCAACTGACCAAAGGG